ATGTTTCAAACATTTGCCTTTCACCTCCTCCCAGATTTCTTCAGCAATTAATCAGGTCCTTTTGTTTTAAAATTTCGTATTAATGTTTTTTCAAGTTTTCATAACGTTTCTGCGTTAGTTTCGTTGAACTTTACTTAGCAGAACAAGTATGTGTTTTCATTTCATTTTGCGCATCTAAAAATGTATATTAAAAACTATGGTTGAGGAGCTTCTTATTTATGAGCTTATCAAAATACATTCTAGCATTTATCTAAATGTCTTTAGATCAAATTATTAAGAATACAAGGACTTTGTTAAGAAATATTATTTCCCGAACCATTGAGACAAATAAATTTTCTAAAAAAGTTACTATTCCTTTTTTACCTTTTATCAGATACGTTTAGAAGAATCGCATCCACCATAAAGCATGTTTGTAAATATTAGAATTGAGATGTCAATAAAAAAATAAATAGTTATGATTCGTAATTTTCTAAAAGCGATCGTAACGCTCGAATACGCCATCTGGGGAGAAGATCGATTCCATGCCTTTAGCCCTTCTCCCTTCCCTCTCCTGCTCTTTTCAGTTGTATAGGAATACACTACGATATTTTTTCCTTTTCTTAATATTTTTTATTGATAAAATTATTGTTTAAAATTTCCATGATGCTTTCTTTTTGTTTAATACTACAGTCCACAGATGGCGCTATGAGCATCCTAATTAATTATTCTTTGAGCTTGAGAAAATAAATAGTGTATGTGTATCGATTCCTGTGTGTGGAGTGTTTCAATGTTTTCGATGTATATTTCAATATTCTAAGTCATCTCCGATTCCAGTAAATTGTGACAAATTCTAACTGAATTGTGAGATATCTAAACGTTCCACCTTTAATTTTATAGTTCCAAGTCCATACAACAACCGAGTCAGGTAAAAATTTATGAAACATTCTTTTTCCCGCTAATTGCTAAATCACTTTTAGAACTATGTTTAATGTAGTTTTCAGTTCCATAGTTTCCCAACATAAAACAATTTAATCTATATGAAAATCAAGATAGAAACTAACGTCTGTGACTTTCCACACGCTAATGGTGAAAGCATTGAGAAATGCTCTCTACCTATGGCATGTTTCGCATGCCTTAGGTAGAGAATTCTGCTCTTCGCCACCTGTAGCCCATTTCGATAGCCAATCACCGTTTTGTATTTTGAAGCATTGATCAATCTGATCCTCACCAAATTATTTGACAGTCTAATGAACTATTTTGAAATACATTCGTTTCAAATAGGTCCAAAAAAATTTATGCTACGCATAAAATTAACCAGTAAATGAGAAAAAAAACATTTCGTTTCAAATTAACTTTATTTCAAGAATGCTTAAAAATCATAATCGTAAACATAAACTCAGTGGGATTTTTTTTTCTCTTTTTTCTTTTCTTTTTTTTTACAGATAAGCACATTTTTTGCTTTTTAGAAACTAGTTATTTAACTTTTTAATTTCAAATTAAGGGATTGGCCATGCATTTTGGCGAAAATTATGTAGCCCCACATTCCCGGGCATGTATTTTACCTCTGCGAATACGGTCGAGAATGAAAGTAATAAAGAAAGTAGAAAACAATCGATATGGATTATATTTTTTAAGTCTTAATAGATAAATAGCTGTAGATAAATTGTAATTGATATTAAATAGATAAATTATATTTGATATAAAATAGATAAATTGTAATTGATATTAAATAGATAAATTATAATTAATATAAAATAGATAAATTGTAATTGATATTAAATAGATAAATTATAATTGATATAAAATAGATAAATTGTAATTGATATTAAATAGATAAATAAGAATTTATTTAACTAAGGTAGCTTTCTTTATTTATTAATAATGATTTATTCGAGCCTTTGAAGGACTTTGAAAATTTTTGCCAGCATCAGCAATAATTAACGCGATGGAGGTTAAAATGAGCATAAGTCCATGTAGCAAATGAGCCAACTTTTTTCTACTCAATTAAATGGAAGAGCTCAAGCGTCAAAACATCTAATCTTCGAAGAACTTTCCTTTTCAGAAAATTCAAACACTAACACACCAAGCTATTTTTTAAAGCTATAGATTACAAATAAGAATAATGCGCTTTTTACTCCTTTTGTTTAAGTTTAAATATCTAAATTCATACACCAACGCATGACAATGTGAATAACATGCTTATTTTCGTAGCAATACAAATGCAGTCATTTACAGTTCTTCGAATTATTTATATACATATGTAGATATAGTAAAGTCAACTAATATTTCGTAATCAAATGCTTTTAAAGATAAATGAACAACAAGGAATTTTTTTTATACAAAATAAACTAATTTACAAAAATGATCCTCTCTTTAAATTTTATTAAAAAAACAGGAAACATGTTAACTAAATTGCAAAAGTTTCACTTCCTTCAATTCGCGATCGCAACGCTCGAGTACGCCGTCTAGCGGGAGCCTGTAAATATCGGACATTAATTTATCACGTTTTCATTTAGTTCCATCAAAGTCATTGACTGAATCAGACGCCATTTTTTAGCAGNCATAAAATAAAAATACTCTTATTGTAACTGACCATATTTGTTATGCATAATTTTAACTTAGAATCACTTTCATTATTTATTAACGGTACCAAAAATTATCACAGCATTGACATGCTGTGGTGAAAACTCCCTTGTTTCATGGCAACTTTCACTTATAAATTGAATTTTATTTATCAACTCCATTATACTGGACAAAAAAGGATCGAAGCTTTCTTACTTAATTATTGTCATAATTACTGTGTGTTTAACTTTTAGAGCAATAGATACTTATTGAATAAAAACAGATTGTTAAAGGTTTTAACCATGAGATGAACCTAGATGACAATTTTATAAAAAAACTGCTATTTTTAATCATAATGGTTGAAGCGTTACAAAAATACTCATTAGTACAACTTCTCACCCTCAAATGTAAAATAAATTAATGAGGTCAAGACAGGTTTAACTCATAAAAATTGTTATGAACCAGTGCAGAGGTTTTCAAACTATGCTTTGAGAGCACTTGTTGGTTCCCTGTGCTCTACCAAAAGTTGGGCTATGTATTGAAGATTTATCATTTATCAATAATTTTGTAAAACAATGACTATAAGAAAAATAAGTTGGCATTCCGTGTGTCAGTTTTCTTCCAATACACAAAACAAATTTATATGAAAGAACATTAAGTATCATGAAGGGAGATAGGAACTGAATTCATAGTATCAGTCAGTTATCATTCTTCACCTTAAAAAAGGTGGGGTACTAAAAATTGAAAAGAACACTATTTCCCCCTAAAAAAAAAGAACATATCACAAAAAAGGGCATTATTCTCAAATATTATCATATCTCTTTAGACACCAAAATATACAAAATTCTTAAATATATCATTAAAAAAAATATATTTTTTTAAAAAAGATTTATTTTAAATGAAAAATAACTCCTTGGTTACATTTGCACCTTATTATAGTTAGGCTTTAAAGTGAGCACAATTTTGGAATTTTGAAAATATATTTTGAAAATAAGTAAAAGTATTAATAACTTATTAAAAATATAGAAATTTAAGAAATTTAAAGCAATTGTAATAATAGCCGAAAGGGAAATAACGATAAAGATTTGCATTTGCAATGATATCTTCGATCAAACCCTTGAAAAAGTTATAACTAAAATATAAAATTTGCTATCAGTAACATCATATTAATTATATTTGAATTGAAAAAAACCATGAGGAAATAGTCAAGAAATGGCAATCAGCTGCTGAAAAAATTCTTAATAAATGGCTTGATTTTAAAATACCAAAATTTGAACTGTGCAACTGAAAAAGGGAACTTTTTAGACAAAAATATTGCTTGTAAAAATTATCTGAGTGAAAAAAAAAACAATGATTATAGAAAAGAAGAAAAAAAAGATTGAAAAATGACATGTATTTACGACAAAGTTGTCACAATCAAATTTTTATTTAAATCAATTTTTATTCAATGAAATCAAAATTTTAGACATTTTTTCAGGATTATAATATTAATTATTCAAGATTTTAATATTAATTATTTATTAATTTACCATTTCAAATTTTAAATCAGTTGCATATTAGTTAACAATCAGTTGAGAACCAACAAATTTTTAAGTAAATTATAAAATCCAACTTCTGTAGTAGATTTCTTTGTTTTGATGATTTCGAACAAGGCAATCTTGTTTTCAATCAAGTCAATCTTCTTTCATCGAACAAGTCAATCTCGTTTAATTAGTACTGAACTGATTTTTTACTGATTTAATGTATTTTCTATGTAATGTGGATAGCACCATTTGATAAAATCAATTCTTGTTAGCTTTTACCTAGAAGGGTATTGTACTCTAATCAGTCCTGAGTTATACTTGTTCTGGGTCTAAGCTTTGATTTTACATTTAGTTTATTAAAAAAAAATTTATTACGATTAATTTAATAATGTTGCTTCAATTAATTAAAAATTGAGCTTTCGAAAATTCAACTGCCTTTCAGACTATTGCAGAACTGTTTCTGAGTTGTTTTCTTACAACTATTTTTGAAAACTCAACAGTCACCTATCTATTGCACATTATTAAATATGGCACTTTAGGGGATTGTATGAGACATATTTTATTTGAAAATGCAAGAACTCAAACTTTAAGTTATTCGATTTGATTTCAGAACCTCCCTTGTGCAGTTTACGTCTCTCATTATCTTTTTTTCCTAAATACCATAAGATGCATATTTAAGTAAATTTCCTTTGTCTAACATTGAGTGAAGTAATATAATAAAAGTTCTTACAATAGCTAATTAAATATTTTAGATTTTCCACTTATGTTTTTAAATATATTTTTACTACAAAAACATAACTGAATTCATAGATAGAATAATTAACTCTTGCTCTGTGTGAAAGGTTGGCCTCATTTGTTTTAAAGTATAACTTTGTCAATGTGTGTGTGTGTTTTTTTGTGTTTGTATTCAAACATAAATTGTTGCAAAATATTAGTTGAAAGAAGTGTAAAATGAAAATATGTTTCAGGTACAGTGGTGTACGAAATTCTTTGTGCAATGAACCGAAGGGAATATCTAAGGAAACGAGACCACTTTCTGACAAAGTATATCAAAAAAAGAAAGCAAATGATCTGTATGAGGTATAAATCTGTTTTTTCTTTCTTTCATAGTTGTAAATTATAGTTTGAGAAATATAAAGTTCTTAGCTATTACTACTAAAGATGTGAGATGAGAATATCCTCAAAAGAATATTCTTTAAGAAAGAGATTATTCTAAGAATATTCATCAACCCTGTAGCAGAATTTTTTCTGGCTTTCTGCAACATACCTCTTTAATACTAATATCTTTCTGCAAGATACTTTTAAAAATAACAAATATACGTGTTTATTTAAAGTAACAGAAGCGTCAACTTCAAAGCAGGGTTCGTGATTTTTTTGATTTTTTAAAAAAAAATCTAAAAAATCGGATTATTTTGATTTAAATCGGATTTTTTTGATNGTCTTTTGTAAATCATAATCATATTAAAAAAAATTGTGAAATCCATAGCAGTAACTACCGAAAAAAAAGATTGATGGCAAAGTCACACAAATCGGACTCTTCAAAAAGGGATTACTAAATGCGTGTTTTCATTTTGAGATTCAGTTGTAATAATTATACAGTAAAAATCGCATAGTGATTCGTATTCTCACTATGTAAAATTAAATATCGCGATTCATATTCTGCTGTTTAAAAAATCATACACCGTTACTCTTCTTGCAATTCAAAAATCATACACTGAGATTTTTATTCACATGATTTAAAAACCACATATTGCGATTCATATTCACAAGTTTTAAAAATCATGCCTTGTCAGTCTTTGCGTAATTTAAAAATCACGCATAGCAATTCGTGTTCAAGCGATTTAAAAATCCCACATCGCTATTGGTATTCACGGAATTTAAATCAGGAAGAGTGCCATCCGGGACAAATTCCCCAAACTGATTTAGTTATCTGCTCTAAACTTATTACTGCCCACAACAACAATTTCTGTAGAAAGACTGTTTTCCAGAATGAACTGGGTACGTTCAAGATTGTAGTCTTTAAACAAAATCATTAAATTTTTATTTAATGGCCTGATGAAGCTACCAGAGACGATCAAGGAGATAAAATTATCACAATATTTGGAAATTGCAGGATAACCATTAAGAAATTTTTTAATCCATTTTCTACCTTCATGGACCATTTTGTATCATTTACGATTATATGCTGGGAAATGATTTATAAATCATTAAATTTTTACTGTAAAAAAGTGTAATCAACGTAAGTATTGTAAAGTAATGTAAATTTTAATAATTGTTCATATATATGGGTATTGATTGTAAATAGTGTCAGGTTAAAAAAGTATTGGTCATAAAGAGTTGTAATCAAGCATCTAAAAAGTTTATTATTAAAGAAAATAGTTCCTTCAAAATTTAAGTTTTGTTTCTTTTCCTTTGTTGGAGTTTATTCCCTATTAAATGTTGAATCTTATTTTGCGCTGAAAGGGTTTTGGTTTAATTTGAATCATTTTTAGCCCTACAAACTAAACGGAAATTAAGGTTAGTAATTAACTTGCATTTATTTTAATAACTACAATATTTTTTTTAATTTAATTCTACGAACAAATTTCTTAATGTTAAATTTTACGTTTAAATGGACTTTTGTATTATGTAATAAGTTGAAAAAACATGAATTTTCCCACAAATTTTAATTATTTCAATTTATCTGAATTTTTTTTCTTATAAATTGATTCTGATTTTTGATTCTATTTTCCCCCCTATATAATCAGTTTTGCAGTTTTTAATTTTTAACATTTAAAAGTATTTAATTTTATGCAAATTTATTACAAAGTTAACTGATAAAAGGAATTTAGTGCCTAGGACAATGATGTTTAAATAACAATAACTACCTATAACTGCTGTCAACATGTCTGTCTAAATACTTGGGCAGGTGGCCCTTCCTTGGTTAATTTGCTTTGCAAATGGCCCTTCACTCAAAAAGGTTGTGCACCCTAGTCTACCCAAACATTCCAAAAGTATGTCTGCAAACTCACAATATTCCTGTATAGCAGAATCAGTATTTTTCAGGCTTTTCTAGCCAGTATTTTATTTTGTTTAACAATCAGAATATTTTTTTTTTCTCTTAGAAAAATAGCCACACTGGAAATATATGCTCATGCAAACGCATTTTTTTTGTAGCAAAAACTTATGTATTTTTTAAATAAATATCTGCAAATATTAAAAATCTCCAGATTGTCACATATGTTATTAGTATTTCGCACATCATTATGAATCAGTGGAGGATCCAAAAACTTTTTGCGGTAAAAAACCGCTACAATTTAGTACTAAGCATTTCTAAATTATTTTGTAATTTGCAAACGTAGAATTTGTATTTTTAGCAAACCTATTAATTTTTTAATAACTGTCTATTTAAAGACTGCTGTACATATATTTTTTTAATTAAATGAAGTAAAGCTAATTATTTTTTTTCCCTTTTAGTTTCTTCTTCAATATGAGTTTAAAGCACCTATAACCCAAACGAAGTTATTGCAACCTAGCAAGAAAGAATATGAAATGATATTCCAAGTATGTGTCATTAAATTTTCTTTGAAATGCAATTCTTTTATTTTTGCAATTTAACTAAAATATTCTATTTTAGTTTTTAGTCAATTTTTGGGAACCTACATTTGAAGTGAAGAACTTAGAGGAAGATGCACCTAAACTTTTGAAAGTTCTTGGTTATCCTTTCACTCTGAATAAATCTCTTTTTATGTATGTTGCAAGAACCAATTTTTCATCTCTTCTCGGAGTACTTTTGTTTCTTATGGATCATGCTAAGGTTTAATAATTTTTTTAAATGTTTTGTTTAAATTTTTAATTTTAAAAAATTAAGAAATAGAAATCTTATTTCATATTTGATTGTTTAAAGGCTCTGTTACTATTAAACACTATAAATCCATAAAAATTTTCTCTAGCCAGTTTACGCATCTACATTATATTTACATTTTAAAAGTGGTAACATGAATTACAATGAAAAATTACAATACAATTAATGTTATGATGAAATATGCACTAAGAAACAGATCAAACGAAGGTACAATATCTTTAGATCCGCAACTGGTCCAGGAGACCATTAATAATTATTTTTAAATGAAAAATTGCAATGCAGAAAATGAGTAATGCTTACAGCTGTGAAATATGTTATTCTGGACAGATCTTTCAAAACCCAAATAAATAAAAAAAAAAAGCAGACCATCCTGTTACATCATTTAAAGGTCCTGGGGACCAATGATGATTATCTGATGGTAGTCTGCGTCAAATTTTAGTGGATGCAGATCAATGGTCCACTGTTAATTTTGAGCCCTGCTAGTGGTATACCAAATATTCAGCTTTCTATTTAGTATTCTGATCTGTAACTAAATGCATTAAAATCTGGCCGAATGTTAATTTAAATTTTGCTAAATTGTAATAATATCCTATAAATTTAGGACACCTTAGGCTTTTGATTATTCCAGTTGCCATTTTCCTAATTTGCTTAACTCTTTACTTATGGCTGGTACAACTGATGGGCTAGAGTGACAGATGCGATCATGCTAGGTGCCGTAAGCCAGTTCTTTTCATGCTCATGTCAGTGTAGGGCTTTTGTATTTCAGTGGGATGTTAAATAAGCTACAGACAAAGTGTTTTGTTGGAAAGAGAGGAATGGGGCAGCGAGAAAGAGTAGAAAAGGGGAAAATATTGCAAATTAGCAATGCAAACATCCTTGAAACAGTTAACAAAAATTTAAATATTATATCTGTAAAAATTATTTTATTTCTCTAATTTTTGACCTTTTTTAAACATTTAATAAGTGCATGTTGATAGATTAGTGAAGATGTGTTCAGATAATATCAAAACTTTTAGTTGCTGCCACTTTTTAGTCAAACCTATGGAACAGTGCCTAAATTTTCTTAATTTGTACCCCTGATAATAATTCCTTTTTCTACATTTGAACATTTTTAGAACAAATTACTGTACTTGCATTTTTATTATAACTAGGAGACCTGGTCACTTCTGTTTTTTTAGTTTATAAAGATATGTAGTTCGTTCATGCTTTTCTGGTTTAAGGAAATTTCAGTTTTGAAAAACACAATTTTTGAAATAAAAAACACATTTCTTTCATTTTTATAAATGAACACGGTAGCTCTATTTCCTCTAAGCACTCTTGATATTAAAATGATACACAGTCTTTCACATTGTAAGTGGCCATTGAAAAAAGCTAGTGAAGAAATAAGGGACAAGCTAGTTAATAATTATTCTGTGAGAGATAAATTAACTATTAAAGCTCTTGTTAAACATATGGCAAATATTTTTGCATTGACATCATCTTTTGGACAAAACCTTTCCTGTATTAACTTGTGAAAGCTATGATTAGTTTTCAAGGATCAGTAGTGAAAAGTTGATTCCAAACATAACTGAGCATACAACAAAATCTTCATAGCTATTGAACAATTACATATCATTAATTGTCCTCTATTGAAGTTTTATTAAAAACTTTTTTATTTTGCTTTCATAAAATATACTAAATTCAGGCATAATTATTTTTTATAGTTTTCCCTAAATGTTGATTTACCCAATTTGCTATTAGCTGGAGATCCTTCAAATGAACATTTTGTAAGTATATTTATTCTTACAGTATTTGATGTCATTGCTTGATTTGTTGTGATTTTTCAGTTATCATTAATATAGTTAAAACAGCAGGTATGCTATTCTTCATATCATTAATTAATTTTACTTCAGTTAGGAAGTAGTTGCAGGTGTAAGTTTTTAACAAAATTGTAAGTTTTAAGTACAAAACAGGTTTCAAAAAGTTATGAGGGAAAAAAAATATTTTTACTATGCTTACAAATTTATATTCTGGAGTCTCAACAAGAGGGGTCTAGAGAATTAGTGAAAGTGAAATATAGTATAATTAGAAGTTTTATGCTGTTCAATGCATGCAACAAATATTTTATTTGAACAAAAAAAACTTTGTTTGAATATTTACCAGTATTTTACACATTTGATAACAAATCAACAGATTTGACACAAATTTGCTACTACCGTAATTTCGCAGAGATACGTCGCACTGGTATATACATTGCACTCATATAATGTGACTAAAATGGGTAAAGTTTTTCACCAGAAAAACTGCACCATTGGATACGCCACACAAAATTTTTCTGTTTGAATGATCCCGGAATTAACACTTCTGTTTCAAATATCGAATTATTTGAAACACAAATGGCTAAACTTTTTAAAATCATTAAACTATTAAATATATCAAATTAATGTATGTGATCTTATATCAGAGAATCAGAAATTTTGTAATTTGATAATTATCGTAACTTTTTTCATATGTATGCAAAATTGTACGATGTAGAATTGTGCCTAATTCAAATGCAACACAATTGCAAACGCATTATGTTAATAAGTACTAATTTAAAATATTCTAGTTTTATTTAAACAAATTGATTAAAAACCAAAATATAATAAGTTATCAACATGCAATAAATTGATTAAAAGGATCTTACTAGGTGCAATATTGTACCATGTAGAACAATTGCGATCACATCTCGTCACTTTATCGTAATTTGATTTTAAATCCCTAAATATCATTAAATCGAATGATTCAACAGCTACAAGTCCTTACAATAATTCAAAAGAAATATTAATAATAATTAAATTAAATAAATTAAATCTTGTTTTGCACAAAATTGTTCTACACAAAACAATCGCGAACACATCCTGTTTCTTTTTACTAATTTAAAGTTCTAAAATTTTTACCAATCAAATGATACTGCTAAAAACCTTTGAAATAATTTTTAAAAATAGATATAAAAAATAAACAACGAATCTCATTTTGCACAAAATAGAAGCATAAAGTGATCTTGAGTGCATTATTTCTTTTATAATTCATTTATAATATCCCCGTTATATATAAATCAAAAGATTAAACTGCTAAAATTTTTTTAAATAAACGCTGAATATGTAATAAATGAACCAGTTCACACATTCCAGTTTTATCCAAGTGCTCATCATGCTGCATCATTTTACTCAAACAAATTTCGAAATCTGATATTTTTGAGTCTTGGGAATATTACGATAAAAATATGAGTAAAAATAATTAAGTTAACCTTCAACTGAAAGTGGGGATAAACTTGACCTTCAAGGTCGATCATTTAAGCATTTCACCCCTCTCATTCATTTTAGAGAATGACTTGTGTACTTCTCTTTCACCTTTTTTTTAAACACCTGCAGTAAAAGAAAGGGAGAGGAAGAATTCGTACTTCTGTTAACCCTTGTAAGAGACTATTCGTAGGGTGATTGCGGGAGGCAAATTCGTCATTGGCTATTTTGTTTGAAAGGGAGAGTGGCTGTTGCGCTATTGTTGCATTTTTGAAAACTGTTTTTCACTTGCATTGTTAATTCTTTATATTATTTTTGTTCATAAATTATAAAAATAGATCGCTGCAAAAGATAAAAAGATGAAGAGGAATAAGGAAATTTTGAAGAATCAGATCAACATAATCGAATTTTTCATGCTCAAGTAGTTAAAAAAACAAAACAAAAAAAGCACTGAATAGGCAGCTTCATTAGATACGTCGCACATACCAAAATCTAATGTTTTAAATCATAAATGCCCTGTGGTGTATCTCAGCCAAATTACAGTACTAAATACTGGTTTTATATGATCACCAGAATTTTTAATTAATATGCAAATAGTAAATCTTTTAAAAAATCAAATCAGTTCTAAAAATATCATCCCTTTGTCACCTTTTCATACCTGCCAAGTGTCCTGTTTTTTAAGCGAAGACTCCCATAATTTTATGACTATCTCCCGTTACCTTTTATGATCTTCTCGGTCTAGGTCAAACTTTCAAACTGACCTTATTTGTCCTTTGTCTCAAAAAATTATGTGGAATCACCTGCACTTATATTTTTTTTACTGCTACATCCTTCTGCAGGGTTCCCACGGTCCTTAAAAGTCCTTAAAAGTTGCTTAGTTTTTATTTTGAAAATTAAGGGCCCTTAAAAGTACTTAATTTTGATTCAAGGTTTTTAAGAGTCCTTAATTTCTAGTATCACTAGTTGGTTTGAAAAATTTTTTTATCTTAGAAAAATATCCACAATTAAAAAGTACGTCTTTCGCCTGGAATGAGACCCTGCATCAAGGGTAGAACATTTTGAATGCGTGTGAGGGTAGGGGTTACAAGCAAGTGGAAGAAAACACACCCTTATTGTTTATTATTATTTTTTTTTTCATTAAAGTATTCTTTCTTTCTGGATCATTCTGAAAGAAAAAAAATTTAGTGTGGGGAGAGGGAAGCGTGATACTGCAGGTGGGAAGAGTTCTTGACTTATTTTTAGACAGTACTAAAGTACTTTATCAGCATTGACCTTCTACATCCATAGGATTAGAGAAATTCAATTCTTCTGATAGCACTTGTGGAAGCTTTGATACTTCATTCAAATGTGAAATTGTTAGAAATGCCCAGGAAAGTGTGTTTTTAATAATTTATGGACACTTGATGAAAAATATAAGGAATGACTAACAGCATCTAGTGATCGTCACAAGGCAAAGTGGATTTTTTCATTTTATTATATTTTCTTCTGAAATTTAATTTTATAAATGACTCCATTTCTTAATATTAGGGATATTATGAATATTCAGCGATGTATAATTTTAATCAGGAAAGTCATTTTCGTCGTTTTATCATCGACACTTTTTGTTTCAAAAAGAGTGAAATTTTTGTTTTCTTTTTTCACTTTCGCTGTTTTGTTTTATATATATATATAGCGCTGCATTTCAACAGCGTTTCTATTATATATTTTATCTCTACTTTTTCTTTTTGAGTTATACTAATTAGATAACCGGTAAAATCGAAAATTGATTTTCTGCATTGCAAGTTTTGTTTTAAGAATTTATGAAAATTTTCTGTTTCTCTCTTGCTTTTTTGATTAAATG